CTGCATTCATTTAAAAATAAACAACAACTGTACAAACTTACTGCATTCACTTAAAAATAAATAACAACAACTGTACAAACTTACTGCATTCACTTAAAAATAAACAACAACTGTACAAACTTACTGCATTCACTTGGAAAAAAACAACTTTTAATTAATTTTTTTTCTTCTGTTTTTCTGACAAATTTTTTTTTCCTAAATTCTCTCTGTTATTTTTAAATAATTAATCAAACGATTACATCATTTCCATGATTTCTTTCCAAGTAGATTTTTACAATGTTATATTATTAATTATTATTATTAATTCCTCCTTTCTGGAGCATTTTTGCTGCAGTGTATTCAAATGTGTGTGAGTTTTGCTGCCACATACTGGACGGGAGAGAATTTAGGGGGTCACGTAAAAGACAGGACACGGAAATAAAATCTTTATTCATTCATTTGTAATCTAATTTGAATACTTTTAGATTATTTCAAGAAAATATTGCACCATATACAAATATAAATGTTCTATTTTCTCTTAAACATCTCAAAAAATGTTTGTTTTTTTGCATTAACACTTCAAATTACAAAAACAGCAGTGACACCAGGTGTACTGATTACTACCCAACCCTGGGAGAGGAAGGCTGGATGAGAGGGTGGGCTCTCTGTCAGCTGCAGGTGGTCCATTACAGATTGTTGGTGTCAGTGTCAAGAGGTCTCATTTTCCTGTCTGAAGCAGGTCATGACCCACCTGGCTCTGGGATGACAACAAAAATCATCCATTTCATGCTCAACGGGAGGCTGGAGCAAGCGGAGTTTGGAGCCGACTGCTCTGCTGCAGATGTCAAAGGTAGGGGGGGGAAAGGGGGGTGGCTGTAGTTTGTGATTTTAGAGACATAATTATAATGTAAATGAGTAAAAGTATGCCACAACCACTATTTCATTTGAACATTCAATGTAGGCACACATAAAGGTGTGAACCAGGAGTTATATGAGCAACAGGGCGTGTATCACAGTAGTGTCAGACTATTTCATGGTCACGAATGTTCCCGTGGCTTCTGCGTTAGGGCCTCACCTCCATGTGGCTTTGACAGGTCCTCAGGTTAAAGGACCTCTTTGCCATTGTCATCTTGAGATGGTGATGAATAAACCATGTGACAACTGGGCCCGACCTCTGAAGACGACAATAATAAGAATACAGGTTGAATTAAGGATTTTGTAAACTAGAAGGTGCATCTCTGGAGAAAGTGCGCTGTGCTTTAAGCAGATAGATCTCAACTGTGTTTGGATGATTTAGAGTTTGTACTTAGTTGGCACGGTTATATAGCGTACTCACCTGTGGCTCCATTTTAAACAAACTGTGCCTCAGGTGCCTCAGGTGGTCTGAATCGTAGTCTCACAATTCCGAAATATCCTGAACTCTCCGTCTGACAGATCTGTTCCGGGCGGCGGCGGAGGCAGGGCCTCACCACATCCTGAAAATGTACAGCACAAACGGCAGCATGTTGAACATCTCCCCCCGGCTGGAAGCCAACAGCGAGGACTCGTACTACCGCCTGGAGGTGGTGGCGGCAGATGTTAAGAGTGAGTGGCCTCCTCTGTGACATCAGCAGATCAGTCTTAAAAATCTATTTCAAAGCTTCCAAAACAAGTATTGTGATGTGGGGGCTGAGGTCATGTCCTCAGTATTGTTTCAGGGAATTTGGCAAATTTAACAGTTGATATATTTACATAGTTTAGTTTCAATATAGTTAAATGTGAGTGTTTTTAGACAAAACAAGTTAAACATTAAAGAAGCACATTCAGTTCAAATCTTACCTTTGTCTTTATTCCCTTCATTAGAGCTTACCCGAGAACTTGGCCAGGTCCATCACCTTTTTAAACATCCTTTAAATTGATTGACTTTGTCATCTATTACTCGACTCTACAAATAAATGGCTGCAAAGTTTAGTTTTTTTCAAGACCTGCAGCTCAAACACACGTAACATCCAAACATCCTACCAATACTGAACGAAAAGATCTGACTTGGTTCAGAACCTTTCAGATGTTATGATTTCGTTCCACAGTCTTTTGTGTTTCATTTTGTGCAGATGTGGGGATGCCAACAGAGCTGGACAACATGGAATGCAGGTGAGTGCCTCTTGTAAACGCAATTTATTGAAGCATCTGGGCGAGAAGGACTCACTGCTGTTTCCTGTCTCTGTCCTTAGGCTGCATCATCTGGAGAGCAAAGTCATTGAAGACGTGGGAAAGACTCCGGACATCATCTGTGAGCTTAAGAGCCAAGTGGAGTCTTTTAAGAGGAAGCTGGAGGTTTGTCAGTCTAATCCTACCAAGACACAACTTTCACAAACAGTTTCTTTTCATCACATGTAGGAAGAAGTGGATAAAACCTTGCTAACCCTGTAATAGAAACTGTCCATTAACAGTCCATTCACCAGACACTACTGCAGAGCTTCAATCCAAATCAATGCAAATAAAGCTGAACTTGAATTTTTGCTCACTAGTCTTCACTTTGGTCTGTAATAATACAATGATTGTATTCTCTTCTGTCAGAGTGTGGAGCACCTGAGCTGGATGGGTCTGTTCAAGGAAGACAGTGATCAGCAGCTCTCCAAGTTCTCCCCGAAACCCAAAACACCTCATCTGAGCGTGCAGGAGGAGCGCCAACAAGTCCGCAGGAAGTTCCTCAACATGAGGTGACCTCGTCTCATTTCACCGCTGATGAACGCTGGTGTTACTGCTGAAATGAGATATTAACATTATTTTTATGGAAAATGTGTGTTTTTTATTATTTATTATTTTATTTTTTTGCTAATGTGGTGGCATGTAAATGAATATATGAACTAACTGTGTTAATCTATTCAATTAATAGATAATATATAAAGTGTTAACTAATCACATAAAGTCAAAGTGACTCTTACGATCATAATTATGAGCAACAGAAATTCATGATGTGTCCTTCAATAAATCACTGTGTCACCTGTTGCACCAAATACTCTGTTTTAAGAACATTTTGTTTCTCAGATCTCTATGAGGACTGAAACATCGTAAATAAATATAATGAATGATCGACAGTGTGCAGTTTTATCAAAGACCAAAATTGAGTGTAGAGCACATTTGTGTCTGTTCTGTGTTGCCGTAGCTCGCTGCAGGTCACAGAAGAGGTGAGAGAGCATCTGAAAACTCCCATTTTTGACAACTGGTGAGTACAAATGTGCACAATGTTTTTCTCACTCTGTACTGAAATAATTTGTTTTTCTGACACTCTGTATTGAACTAATTTAGTTCATTTAGATATTTTTTTTATTTTCTTTCGATATATATTTCTCCTTTGTAGTGTTTATATTTATATTAATTGACTATTGCTCCTATGCAACGCCTGACAACCTGCTGCCGAATAAAGTATCTAACTATCTATCTATGTCGTGAACCACAAGATCCTTATTGACTGTCTAGGACAGTGGTTTGGCGCATCCTATTTTCATCTTAAAAAAATTACTAAATTTTCCCGCTTTATGCAGACGGCATACAGCTTTACTTGTCCATTAAATGTGATCTCAGCGAATTTACTGACTGATATAAATTAATGGTTGGACTCAATTTAACCCTTTCATGCACAGTGGTCACTAGAGTGAACAGTTAGTCAAGAGCTTTTTTTTTTTACATAGGCATGGGTTTTGATGATAGCTGCACATCAGCAGGTCACTCTCTTTGATTAAATGAAATGATGTGAGAAATCATAGTAGTACTACTTTAGTATTAGCTGGTCTTTGCTTGTAACAGAAAAGTTTAACTTTAAACTTTAACTTAAGGCCTGCAGTTACAACTCAATCAATCAATCAACGCATTTGCAATTTAACACTGGCAGTCCTTTGTACTCGTACAAACATGAGCCTAAACTGTACCCGAATAATGTGCTACTGCACACTATGGACTAAATCAAACATGCACCACAGTGGACGCTAGTGCATCATTCCTTTCATTTACTGCCACCCACTGGCCAGCCAGTGTAAGTGCAATAAAAATGTCTCAAAACCAAAATGGCAAAAACAGCTCAGGAATATTTTGCCAATCCTTCTATAGTAGGAGAACCTTGCAGATAGATAAAACAAATGGAAACATCAAGTAACAACAAAGGAGTAATACATTTGTTAACATTTTATTGATTATATAAAGAAAGATTAATCTGTCAACTAAATTGAACATCATGCTTTGCTGGCTATATTTCCATCAGTCCATACTATTAATGCAAATTGAAAATGCTCACACACACACACACGACTCTCTCACCTGTGTGTGGTGTTAACAGGCAGTGGGAGGAGGCGGAGATGCTAGTGCTCCTCCAGGTGATGTTCACCGACCTGGAATTCCTGACGGCGTTCCATATCAAGCTGGAAGTGCTGCAGAACTTCCTGTTTGAGGTCTACTGCCACTACAACAGCATCCCCTTCCACAACTTCAGGCACTGCTTCTGCGTCACTCAGATGGTACGGACAGCAGAAGGGAGTTACTCTTTTCTGAACGTCAGATGCAAGAGTTTGATTTCATCTTTATCAGCTGGATCTCACACAAGTTCAGCAAAAATTATATTTAAGTACTGTACAGAGCCCATTCTCCACTTAGAAACAATTAGCTTTGTTGCAACTAGATGGCAAAAGATAACAAGAATGGCTAGGAGTGGCTCATGTTCCCTCTGTCCTGTCTTTTATCTAAAGGAATCGGTAACAAAATCTGTCAAATTCTGCTACACAAGCTCTTTGAGTGCAGGTTAATAAATCATGCAGAAACAGCTGTGTTTTGGTGATACAGATGTTTGTTGTTGGGGTCTCATTCTGCAGATGTACGGGCTGATCTGGCTGACAGACCTCAGGAGTAAATTATCAAGAATCGACCTGTTGATTATGTTGACCTCGGCTCTGTGCCACGACCTCGACCACCCTGGCTACAACAACGTCTACCAGGTCACCTCCCTGCCGTTGTGTTTGGGGCTTTAATGTGTTTGTCTCATAATTAAGGTGTTTGTTTATTGTTAATCTGAATGTTTTATTAAAAATATGTCACACAGATCAATGCGCAGACTGACTTAGCTCTTCGCTACAATGATATTTCCCCCCTGGAAAACCATCACTGTGCCGTGGCCTTCGGCATCTTGTCCAAGGTACAAAAAACATCACGCATTAAAAGATGCAAAGCATTGTGCTGTAGAAATGAAAAACAAAACAATTATGAATGGAAACAGACAGAATAAAAATAACTGCCCTTGCTAGGGAGTTCTGTGGGCATCAAAGTAAAGTTATTTTAGACAATTATTTCATGACTTTTGTTGTGTACCCCTCGAAAACAATAATGAGGTCAGGTGACCTCAGTGGTGGGTATGACCTGCTGGCAGTAACCAATAAGAAGTAAGGGTACTCGTGTGGACAAAAATCATAAGTGCTGGTAGACTGGTGAGTACCGGCACTGATCTGTTTTCTTACTTTCTTATAAAATGGTCATAAAATAGTTTACTCTGCACATATTCAAGCAGTGAAATAAAAACCACAAAATGAGACTTTCCTACTTGATACTGTGGCCGTTTGAGAAACATTAAAAGCTAGTAAAATGACTTTCTCTTTGCAGCCGGAGTGCAACATCCTAAAAAATCTGACCTGTGAGCAGTACAAACACATCCGTGGAGGAATGATCAGGTAAGACTTCGGCTAACACTTCATCCGTGTCGAAGTTGTGTCGTTTGTTAAAAGAATCCCAAAACTTTTTTCAGATGTATTCTGGCCACCGACATGGCGAGACACAACGAAATTCTCAACAAGTTCAAAATCATGCAGCCGGTGTTCGACTTCACCAACAAGGACCACAAGGAAGTGGTAAAGAAATACACACTGAAACCTCAACTCTTATTTTCTCTTCTCAGTGTTTTCAGTTTCTTTCAGGCTTTCTTATGAGCTGTGCTTTTAGTTTTTAAGGTCAATTTGATCCAACTTGTTAGTTCTCCCTTCACACTGAAACAGCAAAACCTCTTTGTTTTCCTCCTATTTCAATCTACAAACAACAAAATTGTTCATTACTGCCTTTAAGTGGGTCAGACAGTGTGCTCAATCTGCTACTTTAGTTGAGTCTTTAGTTGTGTTTCATATTGTTCTGGAATATTTTTAAAATATATATACAATATATTCATATAGTTACATTTGCTTCTATATATTCTTCAGTAAATATATTTTAATATAATCAATATTTGACATTTACAAGTAAAATCAGGCAATCAGAAGTCTGAAATTAAAATAACACAACAAAATAAGATGTGTGAAAGAAGTAAGCAGGTATTTTCTTTACCATCTTATAATAAACTCTAAAACTGGCCGGTGACCTGTGGAGAGAACGATTATATAAAAGCGTGTGTGACAAGGAGCACCATAGCAACAAGACAAAACTGCCTCAGCAGAGCTTCTCATTCTGGATGTGATTCCTGTTTCCAGCTGATGAAGATCATGGTGAAGGTGAGCGACATCTCCAACGAGGCGAGGCCGATGGCCGTGGCCGAGCCCTGGCTGGACTGTCTGCTGCAGGAGTTCTTCAACCAGGTTTTTACTGATCAATACACAGGAAGTGACAGCTGTCCCAGTGATTGAGAGTAGTCAGGAAGGGAATGTCACTGTTGAATATCACCAAGGATTAAGTGACATTTGCTGTACTAGTCGAGCTGTGTGCTGTAATTTTGTAATTACTGTGTATTTTTTATTGAAGGACAAACATATGCAGATTATACACGCTTTGTTCTTGTTTTGTTGTGCAGAGCGACACAGAGAAACTCAAAGGGCTCCCAGTGACTCCTTTCATGGACCGAGACAAAGTGTCCAAACCGTCCTCTCAGACCAACTTCATCCGATTTGTCCTCTTGCCGCTCTTCACCGAGCTCACCAAGCTGTTTCCCTGTCTGGAGGTAAAGGCACTGATTGATAACAGTAGTATGTACAGTTTTTAGAGGGACTTGTGGGTGATTAGTTTACGCAATGATAGAAAAGGGGTCCCTTGAGGAAAGAGTTGGGGAGCCACTGTTTTAAGGGACACTTTTTGGCTTTCTGAATTGACAACTGATTTCCTTCATTTGTACTATTAATGTGGCCACAGCACAGGCCCACACACAATTAATCATTTCCAGGATATTTGGTAATTGTAATCCATTTCCAGGTGCTTCCACGAGCTGAAAACTAGTCTCAAAAGTTGGTCTATTAAACAGCATCTTAAACGCATTTCAAGATCCGTTTAGTTGTTTGCATTTGACAGCAAAAAATGGTGTCAAAAAACAAAGAGCTAATTTGAGTGCTGTCAACAGTACTTCTGGGAAATGTAGGAAGTCAAGCTGTTGTTGAGGGAACACAGGAAGCACTGCAACACAAAACTGAACTTCAATGTTTCACCAAACAACCCTTGAAACCCGCTGAGCGGAGGTCCTGAAGCTAAAGGTTCTGCTGTCTGTCACGTTGTCTTGCAGCAGCACATTCTGGAGCCGGTGCGACGGGCCCTGGAGTATTACTCCGACATGGAGAGGGCCAGCATGCAGGAGCAGGGGACGACCAAAGCATGAGGAGTACGCGCTGGCCGACAGAGCGTTGTATCAGCAGCAGTGTGCTAGAGGAAGTTGTTGCATCTGAAAAATTGTCATTTAAAATGTTGAGGATTTACGTCTTAGTTGTTTCTAGTTGGGATTATGTCCACCATTTCAAAGTGGTTATAGTTTTATAAGATTTGGATACCAGTGAGACATTATCTAGCTATTATTGGACATGTTGGTGTATTTTAATAGGATAGGAATAATCCTATTTATTGTTCAGTTAATCTGCTGGATTATTAAACGTTTTCCATTTTCTGCAAAAGAGCATGATTTTTTTTACGTTTATCTTTATGGATTATATTGATGCCGAGTTGGCAAGAAGACAAATCACTCGTACACGTTACAATCTCTGTCTGCGTCAGCGTAATGTGTTATCAACAGGTATTGCTAACAATTGTTAACCTGGACGGAACTTGGTTTTCCGCCTTGTTCCTGTTGACCTCAAGTGAGTGCAATGCAGACATATATTTCAGTATTCTCATTAAATAATTTATTTTATTTTCTAATAAAACAGTCCCACAGTTTGAGAACCAGCAGACTAACACACTGTTGGTTTTCACCTTTTAAGGGATTTGTTGAGAAAGAAAATAAAGAATGACATCAGACTTATCCTATGAATTACCCAACATGTAATTGTTTTGATCATTTGATGATTGATATGAACTAGTGACAAGAAATGTATTTTGTGCACATTTAAATACAAATAAAATGCTTATTTTTCATTTCTTGCCATGGCTGACTGTGTTTCACTATTACAAATGTGCTTTTTTAGATGTATTTTTTTTAACTTTGAAAGTTAACTTCCTTATTGTGTACTTATACTTTTATATTGTGTGACTGTCAATAAAGATCTGCCTTTCTGCTTGGTATTAAATTACAGTACATGGTAATTACAGTGTTTTTTAAATGTTTGCTAAGACTACAATGTCAACTCTGTACACATTAAAGACAGCAAACAGCATTGTGTTTATTCACCAGCTGGAGGTAAACTGAAAGATTTATTTTTCAATCACTTCATTTACAAAAAAAAAAAGTGCAAATATGTTTTTTTGTAAGAGTAATCTCATAAATATGTAGTTTAAAATAAAAATGACCAGGGCTCAACATTAGTGTGTTTCAGACAAAATGAAAAAATGCTCACAATAAATCTTCAATATTTACAACACAGTTCATTTTTCAATACATTCTCTTGGCATTAAAAAAACAAAAAGTTGATCACTTGCTTCGACATGAACATGAACCTTCCGGTTTGTCTGAACTGTTAGCAGCTTGGAGCTCTCACCGATTATTTTTCACTACAAAAAAAAAAAAAAAAAACCACGACACAGGAAACGACCGAGGGGAGAAAAACACTGAATGAGCAGTCGAGTAGCAGGATGCAAAAATGCAGGATGCACAACCTGCATGAACCTGCAACACTTCTGTCCTTCTTAGTTATTCTCCTTCATTTATTTAGCTAACAGCAGAGGTACAGTGTGACTGTTCTGTCAGTCTGTGTAATAGGAGCTGATGTTTACTTAGCCGTGCTACCTTCCTAACTCTTCGTCCTGCCCTCATATGAAGGCTGACAGTCGTTTGGGAAATCTTTTAAGGCGACGGTCCTCAATCGCCAAATCAAAATGAAAAACAGTTCCCCGCTTTTAGAGATCAACAGTGACCGCCCACTTTTTTGTTCCCAGAAGTGAAATTCCAGTGAATTGACTACATGTAGGAGTTTTAACCCTGAAAACAAGCTGACCAACTACGAGATGAATTGTGACCTTAAATCATCTGATTGGGAGCAAAAAACTGAAAAAAACCTAAAAAAACGGTTACCAGACTGTGTAACATAATTAATTAAGGAACTACTCATCCCATAAACCCTTGCAAATGATAATGAAAGTAGAGCGCTTCTTCTTGGATTTAACCACTGGCATTAATATGATGTTTACTGGCCCTCACAAACAGAAAGTGTCTTTCAGAAAGAGAAACCATGGTTGCTCTGTGCTCAATTCAACCATCAGAACTCACAAACTAGTTCAAACCTGCTGGAAGTGTGTAAATAAAGTTGGTTTTTTTAAAGTAACTAGTTGTTGGCGTGGCTAACATTTCTATAGATGAGAGCAGAACAGCTGTTTGGGTTCATTCATCGACCTTTCACTATGAATGCTGTTTACAAGGTAGGTCAGCTCACTATATGGGAATTATTAAGGTTCAATTCCCCTCTGCTCCACACGGTTTGGCCATACTTTTCACAGTAAAAGCTTTTATTTCTGATTGTCTTCACATCTACAGACACAATCTGCTCACCCTGAACTCAGTAACATCATTAACTAACCTGTGAGGAAGAGTTGGACACAGACACACTCCACTGACTGTCTGTCATTAACTAACCTGTGAGGAAGAGTTGGACACAGACACACTCACTGACTGTCTGTCATTAACTAACTGTGAGGTAAAGAGTTGGACACCAGACACACTCACTGAGACCTGCTCTACCAAAAATCAAGTAGACACACTCACTGACTGTCTACCAATCAGAGTCGCTGTTTCATTTTGGGGTTGTGGGTACTGTAGTGCTTCTGCATGAGATTGTGAATAAAGAAGGTTGATATCATACAGACGTGTAATACAAAATATCACACTAGAGCTAAATCACGTCCAGCAGATTTGGGACAACTAACAAAGTGCGGTACATCTGCTTTAAAGTTAAACATTTGATTATAAGAGACGGGGTGCAGACTAAACATAGGGATGAACTTTTTCCTCAGTTGAGTGTCGGAGCACTAATCTTTATCCCAGATTTATTATCTATAATCCTCACTGTGTGGAACTGATTCAGTGAATGAATGAATGTAATCGACAAAGGAACTATATTTACAGGACTGGTCACATCTGGCCGACCCCCGACCCGCTCAATGCGCTGTTTGCTGTAACTCTGCTGTTATCTCACACACTTTAAGGCTCTTGGAAACCATTTGACACAATTAAATTAACCAACAATCCAACACGGTTCTGACAAGAATGTCTGGTGTTGCTTAACTGCTACAGTAAAAACAACATTTAGCCTTTCAGACAGTTTGTGCCTTCAGGTCGAAAGGAACAGTTGAATGGTGCCGCTGAAGCATCAAAATGAACATTAATACAGGCAGCGTTAATATAAATATGGCAGCAACATACAACAATAAACAACTATTAGAGAAAAAACACAAAGTGCAGCACTCCAACTTTAAATAAAATCGGTTTATAAAATAATATCATCAGGATTCTAACAATCTGGTTTGTTAAAGGAGCAATGTGCAAGGTATGGCCAGAATTATGGTTGAGTGTTTCAATATTAAATAAATCAACATTATTAACAGCTACAGAGACATCTACGCAGTGCGCTTAAAGTCTTACAAATGGTCCCATTTTTTATTTTATTTTTTTGTAAAGCTTCAATAATGCTTGAGTACCATTTTACCCCCAAACCACGCAGGACACACAGATTCGAGGACTCCTACACAAGAGCAGATTTAAAGTTTGTTCAAGGCTTCTATCAGTATTACCTGTACTGTTACAGAAGGGTTAGGGCTTCAAACTGAGCTTTGAACCTTTAATCTTAGGTTAGTGAACTTGCACATTAAAGTTTGGGCCTGTGAACTCTTTCAGGCTACATTTTGTTGACTAATTTCTTACAACTGGATCAATTTCCAGCGGTTTCAATGACTGGAAAACACACTAAACGCACTGTGGTTTGTTAGTTGTGAGTTAAACAATATTTTCAAACACTTTTTTTGACTGAGATGATATTCCATTCCTCTTCCTGTTTAGATTTATAACCACACAGAAAAAAAAAAAACCTACCTCAGACATTATTTGCATCATTTTGAGATGACTATAAGTCTTTAGTGTCAAATTTATTTTCTTTATTTTCAACTTACCAGACTTTCCAGGTCTGTGCAGCAACCCTGTGGTTCTCCACTGATACGCATCCTTACACTTGACTACCGCTCGGTCTTCGTGTTTCCCTTCTGCTTCCTAAAGGTTTTATTTGAACTAGCAAATAAAAGGAATGAAGTGCTGCTAAAGAACCAGAGTTTGGCACTCTGAGCGTTAAACTGACGGTTTCAAGTGTTAAAACGACGAGAAGCTGGTGGAGCAGTGCTGTGTGGTCACTACAGGGTTGGGCCTGTCAGGAGGTGGGAGGGACTTTTCACAGGTTGCAGAACAGTAGCATCGCACCACTTTCACCTATTTACACCGTCTGCCGAATAAAGCTCTTTTCTCTTTTGTTAATTGAACATGATGGACTCTGGATCCTGGTTCATCATTTGAGCCATGTGTCGCAGGACGTCCTTCTTGGTGATGATACCCAGCAGACGCCTGAACAGAGAGGGAAATAAACAGTCAGCTCTGTTAGTCACTAAATCCTTCACACTGGTCCTCTGACTGATACATAAAGACAGAATCATTATTCATTGTAATTATTTAAATTGACTTTAAAGAAATGAAATACATTTGGTCATTCATTTAAGTCATTAATCAAGTCTCTGTTTGGGAATAGGCTAAAGTTTTAGAACTACAATACACGCTTATATGCAACAAATGTGTCCTCGTGTTTTACATTAAATGTCCACCATATGTTGCTTTCTCTAGCTTCAGTCTTCTTCCATACAGCATGTTCATTTAGTCTATTACGGTCCCACTTAGAGTCAACAGAAGAAGGTATGTTTTAGTAGGGCGTGGCTGTTACTGCGTTGACCATAAGAATCAGAAACACATTTTATTGTACTGTTTATCTGGAATAAGAGCATCAGTGTTCTTGGGTAAGAGAACATTTTAAAAGTGGAGAACAAAACATTTAGTTTTCACAGTTCACAAGTTGTTTCTCCAACGTAAAAAAACCCCACACATAGGTTTTAAATTGGAGGAACATTTAAAAAAATGCAAGAATAATGCATGGCATGTGAAACTGAATACTTGAATTAAATAGGCGAGCATCCTTCCTAAGTTTGCTCGGGTGCGAGCCCCGTGTCTTACCCGCTCCTGGTGACGAGACACTGGCGGAGGCCCAGCTTGCGGAAGATGTCCACCACCGTCTCCATGGGTGTGTGGTCGGTGACGGTGAAGGGGCTGAGGTTCAGGATGCGTCGCAACTTCAGCGGCTGCGGGTTGCTGGCCGGCAGCTGCGGCGCGTCCTCTGTGAAGTAGACCACCGAGCTGCTCACCACGCCGTCCTGCTTCTGACGGGCGTTTTCTACAAACAGACGGGGAAGACAAGTCTGTTTAAAACATTTTGGCCTTTTGGGGAATTGATATGGAAGTTTCTATATGTATTATTAAAGCAGCTGATTTCATCTGATCTGCTGGGAGGGAGAGAGCGAGCAGAATGTAGGGGTTTAGTTACACTTTAAACAGATTGTGTTGTCTCTCGTCTCACTCCAATGAATGTGGGCTCTGATATTTTCCACACAGGGTCAAGCAGAAGGTTTGTTTGAGACACAATCAACTTACTGATGGCCAGGGTGAGATCGCGACGCTGAACGAAGCCGATGAGCCTCTCAGACTCTCTGGACACGACCACCGGGAAGCCGTTATAATCGGTATCTTTGATCAGCGCCTCGACGTCCTCCACCGTGGTGGAGTCCTGGGTGAGGACGGCCAGAGGCGGGTCGTTTCTGCGGGGCCGCATCACGTCGGTGGCCAGGGTGCGGTGGGTGAACTCGTCCCTGACGTCCAGGTAGGGGTAGCCGTTGAGTTGGATGTGTGACTCGTAGATGCCCTCCTTCCCGAAGGCGTCCGCTACCCACTTGCTGGTGACGGCGGCGGCCATCAGGGGGACGATGTACTCCAAGCCGCCGGTGAGCTCGAACATGATGACCACCAGGGAGACGGTCATCCTGGTCACCCCGCCTGAGAGGATATAATGACACATTATTAATGATGACACTAACTCATTTATGTGTTTTATAATTATATCAGTGAATACATCTTACATTTTAATTCTTCTCTTCTGTACTTTCACAGATTTTCATCTCGACCAGATTTAAACATGTTGTGTGATGTTCAATTAACCGAAGGCCAATATCAACAATCTTCAACTTCCAGTGTTGATTAACAAAATAAAATGTACGTTTTCATTCAAATGATGCACCGAGGAACTAATATATTGATCAATAAATAATGCTACTTACTCGTTGGCAAACCAAGTCCCCATTTTTAATCTGAAATTGTCGCACATTTAAAAATAAATCTCACACGTGTTTCCTGCTTCAGTGTTTTCCAGTTGCTTTAGTGTGGAGAAGTCTCACTTCATTTAAAGATGTGTCAGCAGTGTGCCCCCCCACAGGGCCCCCCCACAGGGCCCCCCCACAGGGCAGCAGCAGGCGCTCTGCTTGGCCGGACCCCTCATGTCTACAGGCAGAGTAAGGATGCTAAATCTACTCACCCAGACAGGCGGCAGCTCCCACCATGGCGTACAGTCCAGGTGTGACACAGTCTGCGCCGGGCCGGCACCAGTTCTTGAAGATGATCCAGTCGTGGTGGTGGTACGCCATCTGCTCCACGGCAATCCCCACAATCCGTCCTGCGATAGCTCCCACCGCCATGCTGGGAATGAAGAGACCTGACGGGATCTGGAGAGGAAACACGATCGTTCAGAGGACGCTCAGGTAATCTGATTACAAACCATCCTCCATCTGCTGTGGAGGTAGAGTGACCATGTGTCCCCCTTTATGTGGGACTGCACAGAATTCCTTGTCCCACAGAACTGTGACACTTTAGCTTTGTTTTGTGCTTACTGTATTTACCGTATATTATTTTTAAGTTAGATTGAGATTATAGAAATGTTTTAGACCTCGTTGGGATCAGTCTAAATGGAGGGCAACATGACTAACTTGTCCGACTGAAAGCTCAACACTAACTCATTTTCAACACTGGTTCTTTACAAGGAGAGACAGAAAACTCTCTTTTCTTAACAAACAAACAAACCAGATCTATCCTTCGTTCTGACCTTCATGCCAAAGGTGAAGATTGTGATGACGATCTTGAAGATGAGAGCGAGGGCGAGCTGCCACAGGGCGTTGTAGACCCCGGGCCCCGCCGGTCGGTCCGGGATGTCGTCCACCGGCCGACTCATGTTGGGGTTATTAATATAATCACAGAGCTGTGACGACTCCAGCGCTCCGCAGTCGTTGAAGAGCTCAGAGATGAGCTCGCTGGTGCTGCGCCGGGTGTACGGGTTGGGGAACGCCAGCACCGCCGTGATACCCGTCACGGCGATCACCTCCAGAACCGGGTACTTCCCCAGCTGGGTGGTCTTCCTCCGGCGGCACCAGGCAATGTTGGCGCGGATAAAGAGCGTCCCCCAGAGGCCGCCGAACACGCCCAGCAGGATGAACGGCACCAGCTCCGCCATGTACCACGGCGTGTGGTACTCCACGTAGAAGAGCACCAGACGGCTGTTGCCAAACGGGTTGATGGAGCGCAGTGTGAAGGCGGCGACGAGGGCAGCGAAGAACGAACGCCACAGGGTCTTCAGAGGGAAGTAGTAACTGACCTGCAGGAGAGACGACATCATCAGGTTATTCCTTCGACATTCACCTTTAATTCACTGTTTAACGAACTGTTAGTGACGCACTGCCGGACCAAAGCACTGCGTCACACCCTCAACAGCAGTTTTTTAACGAACCTCTTCCAGGCTGAACAGAACTCCTCCGATGGGCGCTCCGAAGGCCACCGACACTCCAGCTGCTGCTGCGGCTGATAACACCTGAAAGGTCAGAGGTCAGGGTCACTGACAGAACTCTCCCAAGTGCTTCCTGACCGTCTGGTAAAAGAAACTCTGTAACATGTTTCAGTGTATTCAAAATGTCACTATATTGCTGGACAGATTTCACATGTGTAAATATAAAACACAAGAACAGAATTCTTTTACTGACCAAAAAGTGCCAGAAAAATATGGGAATTGGATGCTACATTAAGTCTCTAACACGTTTTACTTGTTATAGGTGTTTTGAATGTTGTTTTGGTTCTTACTGAAACTCCCCCTACTATGAAATATGTTAAGTAAAGTTTTGTTAAAAAAGGAAAGGTTCTTTATTAAAGGACATTGTTCTGTTCACCTTAACGTGAGCAAGAATGACGTGTTCTATGGTGTTTTATCCGTTCGTACCTCTCTCCGTTTGCCCTCGTTCTTGCTGTACTTGGAGAAAAGGCTGCAGAAGAGGTTTCCGCAGCAGCAGGCAACGTGGACCAGAGGGCCCTCTTTCCCTAGGCTCAGACCCGACGACACTGCCAGAACCAGGGTGACCGTCTTGATCAGCAGGGTCCATTTCCCCAGGTATCCTCTGATGATAAAGCCGCTAAGGATTGTCTTGATCTGCCCAAAACCAAAAATAACATCCGTGAGTATGTTTCAGTGTCCAAAAGCGGAAAACGAATACATTGATTCTATTTTGCTTTGGTTATGTCTCTCACCTCCGGGATTCCTGAACCGCACGCGTACGGAGCGAACACTCGCACCAGTGACACCGCCAGGAAGGAAAACAGCAGAGCCCACAGAACGTACAGGAAGTAGTTCAACACGTATGCTCCAGCTCCCTGAATGAGCAAAGAAAAAGAGGATTTCATTATTGTTAGGAACACATTCTTCTCTGACAGTTACTGAGATAGGAATACTTTACTGTGAGTGACAAATACACATCAAAGCTCAAATACTATACATGCTAGAGTCATCAAACCTGCTGCCACATGATGTGCTAAATATATTAAAGCATGTATTGAATAGTTACTGAGCGTTTCATGTTCCAGAACTTAACAATTTGGATCGGGACAACAAATATTATTCCTAAATATTCAGTGAAAATGATTAAAATCATATTCCATAGCTTACAATAATGTGTGGAATTAATTACCGCTCCCACCGTCAGATTATCCCCAGAATTTTAGCACTTTTAAAACTCATCAAGTCAACCAGTTAACGAGACTACGCGACTGCTTATATTGTCTCATTTACGCTGAAACAAATGATTTCGGTGGAAGGCGGGTCTGACCTCGGCGTGGCCCGTCATCAGCTCGGCCCACTTTTGCCACTGCGGACATTTGTCCCGGTCGTCGAAGGTGGTCTCGTTGGACGTCCAGCAGCACTGCTCGTGGCTGTACCAGAAGGCCGACAGACACACGCCTTCCTTCAGGTCCGTCATCCAGTCCACCGCCAGGTCGATCACTCCGGCCAGCGTACCTGCAGAGAACAGGACGTAGACCGTAAACCGAACCGCATAAACCTCGACCAGCACAGCGCTGGTTTGAAACAGAACAATAAACACATTCACGTGACTTTTACTCGAGTAGGATCAAGTCGGGATCTGTGTATCATGTTCCCTCCCTCCTGACCTGAGAGGAGTCCAATGAGCAGCATCACCACCCATCCTGACCAGGCATCCAGCAGGCTCTTGATCAGCTCCCAGAGAGACTCTTTACTCTTACTGGTGATCTGCAGACAAACACGGAGAATTTAATGCTGTTCATTCACAGACCTTGAGGGTAAATCCTTAATTCACAGACGTAGATGTGAAAATCTGTGTCATTTATACTCCTTATATCTTCAAAACAGGCTTTAACAATAGTTTTATTCCGTTCGAAGGATAGAACGAGATAGAAAATCGATCAGATATCTGTAAAAATACAATACTTTGCATCTCTAAACGAACCAACAGCTGCTAAAGACGAAACATACACAAACTAAACGTGAATAATAATATATAATGTCTGTTCTATGTGTATGGACGCTGGTGAAACCTTGCGGTGGCGGTCCGTGTCTCTGGACTTCTCCCTCAGCCAGTCGATGGTGTGGAAGTCTTCATACGTGCCCACGTCAGGAAACGGCTCATCCAAGAAGTCCATCAAGTTTCCAGCTCCGTTCATCTCCTCTGAGGGCGTGGTGCCGCTCACACCTGCAGGAGGAGGAGGAGGAGGAGGAGGAAGGGTCATCGTTTTTTATTGTTTACTTGAAGTTTTATCATCATAAGGAGAGGATCTGACAGAAAGTAGCAGCAGCAGTATGTAGAAGCAGTGTTGGGCAGTAAGGCAGTACTGTAATAATATTACTTTCCCTCCAAAAAAATCAATAAAAACAAATGGATTTATTTGTGTAATGGTGGAGGAAACTAGTCTGGAAGATCAGATTTTACTCGTAAGTCTGAATTTTAGAGAAAAGCGACACAATTATTAATAATTACAATAAAGTTACAATAATGCCATTATTTTGACAGATAATGTTACTTACTGCGGGATCATTTTTGCATCATAAATTGATTTTTTTCAAACAAACATGATTTCTTACATGTGGAGAAGAAGCTTTGTAGAGTGTTTCATTATTAACACA